GATCAGCGTTGCGCTTAGCGATGACCTTGGCTTTTTTAATAGCTTCTGCGGCTCGGGTGCGGGCAGCTTGCAGCATTTCGGCGAATTGTTGTGCACGTGGCGTTGGGATGTCTGGACTCCGCGTCACGGGCACTGAACGATTTTGCTCGTAGTTCAGGTAGAAGGGGTACTGTTGCGTTGTCGCTGCCGTGGCGTTGTTATACGCGAACTCTATCAGCGGCAGCTACTGCTCCCAAGTGGTCGGGTCGTCGCACGTGGCACGAATCAACTGCTCCATCGTCTGATTCTTCCGCTCCGTTTGACCGTCGGTCTCGGGGTGGTACGACGAGCTGAACTGTAGCCTTGTCCCAAACTGCTCCCAGAGGTTTTTCCAGAAGTTGTTGATGAACTTCATATCGCAGTCGCTGATTATAGCGACTGGTATCCCGTGCAGTCGAACGACGGCTGCGAAGTGTGCCATCTTCGTCAACCTGTCAACGACGACCATAACTGCGTCGTTACCCCCAGGGTTCAAAGGTAACCCCGTGACGAAATCCATGGTAACCTGCTGCCAGGCGCGCTCAGGCGGTGGAATCGGCTGCAACTAACCCGCCTTTCTTTTTCGCGAGCTCTTCATCACCTGACACGTAGGGCACGAGCCCACGTGGTGCTGTACGTCGGTCAACAGCTCCAGCCAGTAGTAATACCGTTGCAGTTGCTGTCGCGTTTTTTCTACCCTGAAATGTCCCGAGGTATTTCCGTCGTGTGCCTCCTGCAGTAACAGCTCCCTCCCTCATTAGTGAGTACGCGGGTACCCAGATGCGGTTGGTGCCTATCTTTACGTAATAGATGCCTTTGGCCTCTGCCAGTTGCTGTGAATTTCCGGTCGTGAAAAATGGGTCGGTACTGTATCCATGGGTAAATATGCCTGTTAACAGTGGATTGGTTTGGGCGAGTAGGATGGCGTGGAGTTGGGCGGTGGGGCGTGTGACTGCGTCGGCGATGTTGGATGCGCCTTTTTTGTACGTGACCGTGTAGTGGAAGTTGGACTCCAGATAGTCCAACCAGCGGATCTGTCGTGGGTTGAGATTTGGTTGGGCGCGAAGGTACTGTAGGGATCGGTGGTCTGTCCGTACAGTCACGTCTGCTCCCATGAGGTAACATCGCCACACCTTGAACGCGTGCACGATCGCCAGCATCTCGCGGTCGTCTATCGGGTAGTTGCGTTCGGGCGGGTGAAGCTTGCGGAACTCGTACGCAATTGGCTGAAGGCCATTCCCGAAGTCCTGCAGCAGTACTGCTCCCATTGCGATGTCGCTAGCGTCGGTGACCAGTTCGAACGGACGGTGTGGATCTGCGATGTGAAGCACGGGCGGTGAGCACAAAATATTTTTGAGGGCTGAGAAGGCAGCTTGCTCTTTCTCCCCCCACATGTACTCAACCCCCTTCCTCAGCAGGTTGGTCAACGAGGCAGTCAGCTTCGCCATGTCGGGGATGAACCGGCGCACGTAAATGACGAACCCCAAAAAAATCTGCAGCTCGGTCAAGTTGGTCGGCGCGTGCCATGCTTGAATCGTCGCGATCTTCTTCGGGTCTATTTCCACTCCTGCAGCTGAAATGATGTGTCCCAAAAATTCCAGTCGGTCCTGTAAAAACTCACACTTAGACGCTTTTGCCAGTAGGCGGTTCTCACTCAGTATTTGAAAAACTACTTTGATGTCATTAAAGTGCTGTGCTCTGTCAGGGCTGTAAATCAGTATGTCGTCCAGATACACGATGACGCACTTATCTAAAAGCGGGCGGAAGGCTTCGTTCATGGTCATTTGAAAGGTGGCGGGGGCATTGGTCAGTCCGAAAGGCACGACGGTGTATTCGAAGGATCCGTAGCGTGTTCGGAAGGCTGTCTTAGGGCAGTCGGGTGGGTTGACGCGAATCTGGTGGTAACCTCCCCGAAGGTCAATTTTAGAGAAAACCCGGGCTGTGCGCAGTTGGTCGATCAGTTCGTCGGCTCGCGGGATGGGGTAACGGGATTTGATCGTAACCTTGTTCAGTGCTCTGTAATCTATGCACATGCGAAATCCCCCGTCCTTTTTCGGTGTGAACAGTATCGGTGTTGCGAAAGGAGACGAACTAGGGCGAATGAACTCTTTCTCAAGCAGGTAGTCCACCTGCTTCCTCAGTTCGTCCAGTTCGGGTTGGGTCAGTCGGAGCTATCGATGTACTGTTGGCTGTGCCCCCGGTTCTAATTCGATCATGTGGTCGTGCGGTCGCTGAGGTGGCAGTCCCGTCGGTAGGTCGTCCGGGAAGATGTCACTGTACTGCTTCAACAGTGCTGCCAGATCACCCGGTACGCTAGCTAGCAGTTTCTGTAAACCCCCCCCTTTGTCTGCTGCCTCGGCTTCCCGAATGTCAACCGTGTACACATCAGCTTCTGCTGCTACGGCGCGTTTCATCGTGATCGCGTTGACACGCACCGACGAAGACTCAGGCGAGCCCCAGCGAGGTAAGGCGATGTTGTTACTATTCACTCGCACAGCGCAATCACCCGTCGTCCAGTCGATTCGCGGGTTCTCTCGTCGCAGCCAATCACAGCCGAGTAAAATGTCGGTTCCGTCGAGCGTCGTTGCGAGCATTTCCTGGCTAAACGTGAAGTTACCCCCGCTTAGAATCCGAACTTGGTCCACACGTTCCCGTATCGCCAGTGGCGTGCCGTCAACCAGTCTTGCGTCGATCTCAGGTAAGCATCTGTCCAGTGGCAGTCACAGTTTTCGTGCTGTGGCAGTGTTGATAAGGCTGTGGCTGGCCCCTCCGTCTACGAAGATTTTTACTAACCCCGTCCAGATTTTCCCACTAAGCAGTATGGGGCTGTCTACCGTAGTACCCTCCTTATTCGGCCGAGTGTGGTCGATTGTGTGAACCGGCACAATCACTCGGTGAGGGTCGGTTGGGTCAAGCGAGCGGCGTGACCTGTCAGTAGAGGGCCCGTCTGCTACTGACTCCCAGCGTTTCCCTGCTGCTTGGTCTGTTTCTGCTGCTCAGCTTCCCCCTTTCCCTTAGCGTTTTCCGGGCATTCGCTCTTACGGTGTCCCGGTCGATTTCACGCAAAGCAACGCCCTTTAAATGGTGCGGCAGCGGCATTTGCGGCGACGGCACGTATCGTAGCGCCCTCGTTCGTCCCACGAGGCCGATGTCCCCAATTACTGCTTCCGTAGGACCCCGGTCTCGGTCGACGGAAGAAATCGAGCTTCTCCGCCATAGCCAGGATCTCTTGAAAGTCGGTGACGCCGAGAAGCTGGATTTCCTGAGCGATGTCCTGCTTCAGGCCGTCGATGTAGTGGTCGATGCGTTCGCTCTCATGCATGTATCCCACCTGCTGGCATAGCGCCAGAAATCCGCTCGCGTAGTCTTGGACGGAACCGAGTTGGCGCCAAGTGCGGAGCTTCTGTCGCGCTGCGATCGAAGCCGCAATTGGCTCGAAACGAGCGCGCAGACCTGCGCACCACGCGTCCCACGCGCGATACTGGGGCACCTCCATGAAATACGACGGCGCCCAGGGTCCAGTTTGTCCTTCCCAAGTCGGTAGTGTCGCGTAGTCGACCGGCTTCGTGACGATGACACGCCACCAGTCCATGGCGGGTCCTCGCAGCAACGACACGGCGTAACGAATCTTCGCCGTATCCTCCGAGACGTAGTTCGCGTCGAAGAAAACATTCAACGTGAAGAGTCACGCCTGAACGGTAGGACCACCCCGCTGACTTGGATCGAAACATGGCGGACGCTGCGGTTTCAGCGGCATCGGCGACGGTAGCGTTGATTCGCCGGCCGGCACGGGAATCGTGACTCGAGGCTGGTTCTTGGCCGCATTCGTCGCGTCGGGGTGTGTCGTGCCGTGGTCGTCGTCTCCGTCGTGGCGGACGACGCCATCACTGGCCGCGCTCGCGGGTTGCCCCACACTTCCGTGTTGCGATGTTTGTCGTGCGGGCTTTATCGGAGTGCTTGGTGCTTGGGTTGTGTTCGTGCGAGATCATTTTGCAGGGAGGTGCGTTCCGCCGTTAATGCCGCGATTTCTTCGGAGTTTTTCGTGCAGTTGTCGCAGCAACTCGTCTAGGCGGTCCTGCGTGAGGGTGGTGACGTCAATGCGTTCGGCCATTCCGAAGGGCGTCGGCTCGTCTTAGTCTAGGCGCAGTCGTGGCTGCATGCGTTTACGAGAGAACGCGAGGACAACGGCTCCTAGGGGCTAAGGTGCGTGAGTCCTTTCGAGTGAAAAATCAAAAGTTGATTCCCTGGGGTGCGGAGATGCACGGTCCGAAAGTAAGAGGCTCTGATACCAAGTGTTACGGGTGCAATGAATCAAAGTAGCGAGAATTGCACTAAGGTGTCAAACGAGTACAAAATGTGAGCGAAGGCATGAGCGAAACATGCTAACGGAAACGCGGTGCGTGCGAGCTAGCTAGTGCTATGCTGGAAGCGAGGCTCGGGCTATTCCCGAAGCGTAGGCCGACAGCGCCGGGTCAGCAGTGCGAGGTTTGGTGAAACAGTGCGCGCGAAGTCGGCGAAGCCCCGTTAACAGTAACGGGCGAACAACGGCTGCTGCTTTACCGGTGTTGCAGGGTGTGCTAAGAAATATCGAGGAAATTCCTTACATCTTTTAATCTTTTATCGTTACGCATTTGTCAAATGATTTCTCTTGGATTTCCAGGTATAATGAATCTGCTCTTTCTGTGTTAATCAAGCTTTTATAACCATATTGGACATTGATTACCTAGTAATCTGAAGAAGCGAGTGCACCCTAGTGCAGCTGCATCTACCGTATATGCTCCTGTGGAGCCATAGAATAGTCATTGACCAGTCTGGTGTGGAGGGGTGGCAAGTCATTATGTACCACTGGCGGGGGCTCCTTATTTCCCCTCTCAATGCTACCAACCTACGAGGAGGTGGAAGTAAATGGGAGGAAGATGGCTTGTGTGTGTGCGGGCGGAGGCCGGAAGGGGAGGAAATCTGTTTCCCTCAAAACTCCGTGCCTATCTGAACTCCTCATGTCCCTCCTCATCATCCTCATAGTTGTACTCCCCACTATCATCCTCATCCCAGTCGTCATCATCCTCCTCCCCATCATGCCCATAGTGGTGGTACCCATGGTGCTGGTGGTCATCATCCTCATCCTCCTCAGTGTCATGCTCATGCGTGTGTGGTGTGTGTGGCTCTGAGTGCTCCTCCACCACATCATAGAAGGCTGACCAGTTGCGCAGCATCTCGTCCAGCGACAGGTGCTTGTCCTTGTTGTCGTCCGCCTGCACGCACACCATTGAGACGCCACATGGTAAAGCGCGGTGAGCGAGAGTGCGAGGAGAGAAAGGAAGGAGCTGAGAAGGAGAGGGAAAGAGCAGCAGCTAAAGCAGTGGCAGCAGCAACAGCAACGGCAGCGGGCTGACCTGGGTGAGCATGTGTTTGGCCTGTTCCTCGGCGAAGTGGTATTCGTTGGGTGCCAGGGCGTACAGCAGGTTGTCAGCGAACTCGCTCACGTCCAGGAACCTGCACGCCACACAGGGACGAGTTGAGGGGTGGGGAAACAAGCCAGAGGCGGGGTAATATAAGCCTGGAGAATCTGATCGGAACCAACCCCTCCTAGCGCATCAGGAGACTTTTCCAGCAGTGACCTGTCTAGCGGGGAAACGAACAGAGGCCAGAATTGCTGCACAGCAGCAGCAGCGGCGACGGCACTCACCCATCGTCATTGAAGTCCGAGTCCTGAAACCGCCTCCTCGCCTCCTCCCGCCGCACCTCCAGCGGCTTCTCCTCCTCCACGTGCCCGTACTCGTGCCCATGATGCCCCTCGTGGTGCTCATGGTGCTCGTGATGACCATGGTGCCCGTGCTCGTGGTGCTCTTCGTGCCCGTGCTGCGCGTGCTGCTCGTGACCGTGGGAGGGCAGCTTGAGCGTGTCGGGGTGCGGGGCGAAGCGGTGCTCCTCCCACTTCTCGTACTCGTCGTCGAACGCCTTCACGTCCTCCCACGCGCTCTCGAAAAACTCCTCGAAGCTCAGCCGCCCGTCCGAGTCCTTGTCGTGCGCCCTGCAAACGCGCGCACACCGTAGAACCCAGAAAGAAGGCCGTTTCCCCAGAAAACCCAGGAGCCGAGTTAAAAACGACGTCGGCTGGAACTCGAGGTACGAAATGTATCAAGCGTTTGGCACTGAGGGTACCCAAATCCACACATAACTTTCCCCGCTCGCACACACGACACCCGCAAGCGCAGGCGCACCTGAACTCCTCGTCGCGCACGGAGCGCGTGAGATTTTCGTTGTGGCTGTCCTCGGGGTGAAGGAAGGCGTTGAACTCCTCCTCGTTCAGCAGCCCGTCGCCGTCCGTGTCCGCCATCGGGAAGCGCTGCTTGCTCAGGTTCACGAAGCTCTGCAGACTCTCGTCCCACTCCGACGACACTGCGCCACGCACACACACATGCATACGCACGATACAGTTGTTAGGGAAGCCGACTAAGGCAAGACTTTGAGGGAACGGTGGCGCGGCCAGCGCGGATAAGAATCGAATACCGAGGAGAGGCCAGAGGCGAAAACGTGCCGAGCCAATGTAGGGGAAGACGAGCAGGCGAGCAGCGCCGTAGGAAGGGAGGCGAGAAATTGCGAGTGGGCGCTAGCGCAATAAGCGGCGACTGACCTTCGTCGCCGTCCGAGTCGTCCTGGAGATACTCCTTGAGCGAGATGAACCCGTCGTGGTTCGCGTCCGTGATCTCCATCTCGCGCCGCGTGCGGTGCGCACTGCTGCGGTGCGCCTGCTGCACCTGCCACATGGCGAGCTCGTTGAGCGAGATGTACCCGTCGCGCTCGTCCGTGTCGATGAGCGGGAACAGCGTGCGGATGCGCGACGACACGTTCACCTTGCTCTCCACGTGCGCTGCGATTTAATGAAACAGCCACGGGGTTTGGGAAAGAAGCGGCAGCAGGCGGTGGAGGGTAAGCAGTAATTCAGCACAGTGCTGGGCCGTAAGTGGAGGGTGGGAGAAGGTGGTAAACATCAACAGGTTGGAATCGGCTAAAAAATAAATCGTGTGGCATTTCGCTCGCATCCCACCACCAGTGCTGCGCCGGCAACGGCGTCCTCACTCGCTTTCCCGGCGTTCTCAACGCGCGGATTTCGAGTCCATGGCGTCGCAGGCCGCACCTGAGTCCATGTGGTCGTGGAGGTGCTGCAGCTCCTCGTCCTCCACCTCCTCGCCGTGCACATATTCGTGTTCGTGCCCGCCGTGCTTCGCGCTCTCGTTCCCGCTGCCCTGGCCGTGCTCATGCCCCTGCTTTCCCCCGTGCCCGTCGGTGCCGTGTCCGACGGTGTAGACGGGCTCCACTTTCGTGTGCACGTGCACCTCCTCGTGGTGCTCTCGGAAATACGCTTCTTCCCACGAGTGGTCGTCTTGCTTCGTCTCCATCTCCGCAATTAGCGGGTCGAACGTGATGTGGTCTAGCTTGGGGTTCACCTCCGTCGTCGCGCGGTGGAGTTTAATCACCTGTTCGCCCGGCTCCTTCGCGTGCCGTCTGCGCCCGCCGTCCAAGCGTCGGCGGTTGCCGTGTTTGTGCTTGCCATGGTGGTGCGAGGAGGGGCCCGAGAGGAGCAGGAGTCCTACGACGAGAGTGACGCAGAAGGCATACACTACCGGCGCCTTGGGACCGCTGCTATGGGAAACGGTGTGCATCTTGACGAGCAAACGGTGCGCCAAGAGGGAAGGGAACTGAAAGCGGAGGGGCTATGCTAGACTTCCGGCCGCGGGGTTCGACAATCTGGCAGGTTAACAAGCGTTAAGGATGGCTTACTATCGCGATGTAGGTATGGTCATGGAGAGTGAATGCTTGCCACTGCACTGTATCGATGAGGCAGATAGGTAATTTATATCAGGTGGATGATACGAGGAGGTGCAAGAGGGACATCAAGGAGGACGACGGATAGGGAGAGGCGCGATTTCCCCAAGTGCCGAACATCGAGGGGGCGGAAGGGAGGAAGGGAGGGAAGGCAAGCAACGCGACACATTCCACGCGACCCGTCGGGCATCTCGCTCCAAGATTCGCGGTGACATTGGTGCGGTGCGAGACTTGAGTTGCGTTTGGACAGCGAGACATGTTTTGCGGGCGCGGGCGAGTGAAGAAAAAATTCGCGCAGCGCCGTTGAGCTTGTGTTTTTGGTCGTTGGTGTGGCGGGCCGGTGAGGAGGATCGTTTGGCCGACATACAAAATATTTCGACAAACTGGAAAGGAGGGTTTCGATGCTGACCGTCTCCCTCCCACCGAATGCTCGGGCATCGTAGAAAACCGCCGCACCGCTCCCCTAACGTTCACAGCTGTCACCAGTAATTGCTCGCTATAGACTTGCGGATAAACATACCTTATATGTCTCACCATCCTTGTGGATGAAGTGCAAATATACAGTAAATGTAACGCTAGTACATGGATGGATGAATATATATTTGAGGTATTTAGCCAGTGGTTTGAGAAGCATTTGTTTGACTCAGGACAACCGAAAAATAACAGCCCCTAGAAAATATACGTCCCTAAATCACCATGTCGTAATGAAGGATATGAACCCCAAATCAAGACCATCAACGCCTAAACAGCCAATAGATCAGCACAAGCCCATTGATTGACTGTTTGGTGTTGAGATTAACCATACCGGATTTCATAAGCTAGGTTTGTATTACACTAATCATGACCACCACTTTCAACCAGACAGAACCTAGCGCATCAGTTTAATTTGGATGACACCGATTACCGTAGCTCAAACTGGTGAAATTCAAGGGATTCCCCTCAACACCTCTCTCAACTTGTTTCGCGTGCCTCATCGATCAATGGCAGCTGCTCCATCGCTCGCGTTCTCGCACATTCTCCTATTTAACTCGCGCTCTTCCACGGCGTCTCTCGTTCCTACCCTTGCCCCCTATTATCCCTCGCAGTGCTTTCTCTCCTTCCCCCTGGCCTCGCCTCTCTCCTCGTATTTACTCCCCGCTCACTTCCTACCTGCCGCTCGTTCTAGACTACGCTTCGGAATCCCCGAATTTCCCGCTGACCGCCTTCGTGGAAGTAACTTCCGCGTCCGCTGCGGCGCCGCGCCATTCCGACGTGGCATTCACGTGTTCCCACACGGCATTTCATTGGCTGCGGTCGGCCTGCCGGCCACGCATCTAGGTCTCCGCGTGTCGCACAGCGCTCGAATAATCTGGCAGCGGGGGAGAGGCAGGCGAGAGTGCAGAGTCCGCGCAAACGCAGCAGACTGTAGCGGGGAAAATGGCGAGGGCGGCACTAGTGAGGGGAGGAATTCTGACCCTTGGGGGAATTCCTTGGAGGCATTTCCAAAAACCGCCGATACAGCAGTAGCAACAGAAGCAAGAGCGGAAGCGTTGACGTCTGGCGGAGGTGGCGCAGGTGGCGCAAGTGGCGCAGATGGTGGGAACTGGACGGAGGTTGAGGGGGTGGGTGCACGGGGGAAGGCGGAGCAGGCGGAGGAGCACGAGGAGAGCGAGACGGAGTGGGGGGCAGACGAGGAGGCGGAAGATGCGGAGGGGGAGGGGGGCTCAGAGGAGGAAAGCGATGGGGAGTGGGAGGGGCAGGACGGTGGGGAGAGGGACGGGGATGGGGATGGGGATGGGGATGGGGATGGGGATGGGGATGGGGATGGGGATGGGGATGGGGATGGGGATGGGGATGGGGATGGGGATGGGGATGGGGATGGGGATGGGGATGGGGATGGGGATGGGGATGGGGATGGGGATGGGGATGGGGATGGGGATGGGGATGGGGATGGGGATGGGGATGGGGATGGGGGCAAGGAGGCGATTCGGCGGGAGAGGATCAGCGAGGCGAATAGAGGGCGCGTGCCGTGGAACAAGGGCAGGCGGTGGAGCGATGGTGAGCAACACGAGGGGGGGTGGGGGGGAGGGGAAGCAGGCGATCAAAGCGGGCTAATTGTGTGTGTGGTGGTTCACCCTCACCATGTGTTACTATGCCTTTCCTCACTTCTCCCTCTCTACTGCTGTCCTTTCCCCCCCTCTCCCCACTCTCTTCCCCACTCTCTTCCCCTCTTTCCCCCTCTCTCTCCTCCCTCCCCCCCTCCCGCCCACTCGGGCCGTGCGGCACACCACATGGGCGGGCAGAGGTGCGCGCGAGGATAAGGGAGCGCACCAAGGTCGCCATGAGCGACCCCAGCATCCGCGCGCGCCTCAAGGAGCGCGGCCACCGCCAGAGGTGCGCACAGGGGGAGGTGGGGGCAGGGGGAGGTGGGGGCAGGGGGGGTTGGGGGCAGGGGGGAAGAGGTGCAGGCATAGGCAGAGATACTACTCCAAAGGCAGCTCCTTGCTGCTCACAGTTTGCAAGCATCGCCTGCAGCTATTGCTCCCCTCCACCCACCGCTGCCTGCCTGTCATGCACCCTCCTCTCTCTCCTCTTCCCCTCCCCACCTCCCCCACCCTCTTCTCTCCTCCCCCCCGCCCCCCACATGTCCCCATCCCACTGCATTCACTCACCCTTCTCCCATCTCCTCTTTCCCCAACCTCTCCATCTCCTCCCTCGTCTCCGCCCCCACCGCCCTATCCCCCCATTCCCCCCTTCCCCGCCCCCCCTCTCCCCCGTGCTCTCACCTGCCCCCGCGCATCTGCGCCCAGTGTGGAGACGCGCGCGCTGATAGCAGCAAAGCTGCGCGCCAACTGGCAGCAGCGCCACGAGCACATGGCGCTGGTAACAGCGCTGCGGCAGGAGTGGCACGCGGAGCTGGCGCGCGCTGCAGCGGCGGGGGGCGTGGGCGAGAGGGCGCTGGTGCGGTGCCGCAACGGACGAGTGCTGTATGCTGATGAGATGGAGATGGGCGGGCGGAGAAGGAGGAGGAGGTGGAAGGGAGGCGGAGGGGAGACGGACAAGGAGGGGGATGGGGATGGGGATGGGGAGGAGAGGTGGGAAGTGGATGGGGGGGTTGGAGGGCAGGGTGAGTTGGGTGGGGATGGTGAGGGTGGGGAGAGGAGGATGAGGAGGAGGAGGCAGGTGGAGAGGGTGGTTAGAGGGAAGCACAGTGAGGAGCACAGGAAGCGAATCAGTGAAGCCATCAAGGCCAAATGGGCCGACCCTGTAAGGATGAAGCATGGGCATGGGCATGGGCATGGGCATGGCCATGGGCATGGCATAGGCATGGGCATGGTTGGGCAGGGGGGAAGGAGTGGTGTGAGCTATGCTCATCTTTTATGTGCCCTGCTCTGCTCTGCGTGCATACATGCATGCGTGGGTGTGCGGGAGGGTGCGTGCGTGCGTGAATATGTGCATGCATGCAGGAATATCGCAGTCGAGTGGCATCGGCTGTTCGCCTGGCGAGGCCCAACAGCAGGAGCAGTGGGGACAGCACAAGCGGATCCGAGAGCAAGAGCAAGAGGGCAGAGAGGCGACGAGCCGCAAGCGGGGAGGGAGGAAGGCCACGCAGCAGCAGCAGCAGGAGGAGGGGCAAAGCAGCGGAAGGCTCTGCTTTGCTGGGCGATGCCAGTCCAGAGAGTACCCGTGAAGGTATTCCTGGTAGTGGTGATGGTGCTGCTGCTGCTGCTGACGCGCCTGATTCCAGCGACGCAGCAAAGGCAGCAAAAGCGGCAGCGGCAGAGGTGGTGGTGATTCCAAACCCAGACGAGGCGTTTGTTGAGCTTGTGATGGCTGCCGAGGCGCAGAACGGTGAGCAAGGCTCCTTGCAGGGGGACGCAGGCAGAGAGGAGCACAGGCAGCAGGGGGGGGTGGAGGGAGGGGAGAGAGGAGCGGAGGGCGAGGAAGGGGAGCGGCGCGAGGGAGGGTCGGGGGGAGTGGTGTCGCCGTTTAAGCGGGTTGTGATTGTGTCGCAGAGAGGAGGGGGGGAGAAGCGTGGGATTGGTGGGGAGGGGAGGGGAGATGAGGGTGATGGCATAAGGAGCAGAGAGAGAAGAGGAGAGGCAGCGTTTGATGGGTCAGCTACTCAAGACATGGGGGACATTGGGGGGGGTTGGGAGAAGCTAGGAGAGGAGGTGGAAGAGTGGGAGAGCGAATGGGAGGGGGAGGATGGGCGGAACGAGAGACCGGAGAGGCAGGGGGAAAGGGGGAGAAGGAAACAGGTGTGGGTGGGCGGTGCGTGGGACGGTGTGCTACTAAGGGGGGAAATGGGACTAGGGGAAGGGCTTGGGGAAGGGCTGAAGAAGAGGGGCACATGGAGGGGTGCAGAGGGGCGAGCAGGTGTAAACAGGGAGATGCCATGGCAGGAGGTGCTGAGGGAAGGGGATAAGGACGGTGGCGATGGGGGTGAGAATGGGGTGTTGGGTGGGGTCAATGGGAGTAGCAGCACGGACGGCAGCAGCAGCAGCAGCAGGAGCAGTGGAGTGGGAGATGGTAGTGTTGACACGGACGAAAGAGGCGTGTGGGATGACAGGGGTACTTCTGCATCTGCATCTGCGTCTGTGCCTGCATTGGATGCTCAGCAGAGCATGACCCGGCACATGGTGGCACGCAGGCGAAAGCAACTGGCAGAGAGAGCACGGTGAGAGCAGGGAGAGGGGAGAGTGCGGAAGGGGAAGGGGAAAACGAAACGGGAGAAGCCATGCGAGGCGCTGCACAGTGGGCTCATCACAATGCCATGTGATTTTGCCCCAGCATGCATGTGCTCATTGTTCCGGACCGCTCGTCAGTCCCCATTACTGTTCCCCCTCCTGCTCAGCTCTCTTCACCTCTTTTCACTCCCCACCTCCCTTCTCACCCTTGTCACCTCATCCCCCTCTCCCACCTGCCAGCTCCTCCCAGTCCCCCTCCACCCCGTTACTGCACTTCACTCTCCCCTCCTCCCCCCCCTTCACCCGCATCCCCCGTCCCCCAGGGTACTGATGGCGGAGGCGGAGCAGGCAGCGCAGGCGCTGGCATCTTCCCTACTGCACCCCCTCTCCCTCCCCTCCTCACATGTTTTCGCTTCCCCCGGCCCCCCTCCCGTTCCTCTTCCCCGCTCCCCAGGGTGCTGATGGCGGAGGCGGAGCAGGCAGCGCAGGCGCTGGCGGCGGTGGCGGGGAGGGACAACCGCGCCATGGCCTCTCTGCTCGAGACACGGCGCTTGCTGGACGAGGCCAGGCGTGCTGTCAGGGAGGCTGAGGGGCCGCACGGTAGTGATGAGGGGGAGGCGAGGCAGGCAGGGCCAGGTGAGATGGGGGAGGAGGGCGGCCGATAGGGCTGGCAGCGTGGGCGGCTTTGTGGTGTGGTGTGGTTATGCCATCGTCTATAGCAACTGGCTGTGAGAGTGGAAAGCAGCACTGGTGGGATGGGGAGATGCTGGAGTGCAAGTGAGGAGCAAAAGATATTCTTTCTTACCGTAAGAAATTGGAAACAGCACGTGATTGAAGATTGCTTGGGTTTGTTCGTTGCATGGCGAAACTCAAACAGGGATAGCCCTGTCAAGCAAGAGCAAAGCCAGGGTTATGAAATGTATGAATAAATCACCAAACCAGACATAGTAATCTACCTTATTGGGAAGGCCACAAAAAAAAATCATCCTTATTTTGTTATTAATTACAACGCAGTACATATTTTGCCATTCGTACAATCATTTGTGCTTGAAACCTTTAAATTGACAATTCTATTGGTATAACGAGCATAAATAAAAAGCAGATATTCAAATCACATCATTCAACTCCGGCTCATGATGCTTCTGCTTACGTAATGCTCTTGCTCACGATGCTGCTCCTGCTCACGATGATTCCGCTCACGATGCTCCTGCTCACGATGGTCGTGCAACGCTCCCACCTAAACTTCTGCCTCCACCTTTCCCTCCACATTTCGCTCCTCCCTTTCTCATCTTAGCTCCTAGCTTTTGCATCGCTCGCAATAAACTCCGATAGTTTAATGCATATTCAAATAGCTCATGTTCAAATACACCATTAGAGCAATTTCGGCTTGATTCTTGCGCAAAGAAAAGTTCGGCATATATGATTACTCTTAGAATCTAGAGACAGGAATGAATGCACTATGGAAGAATTGGGTATAAGTATGAAACCCTAAACGGGGCTGTACCCCATATTGGCTACCCCACTACAGCCTACACATATGTAACATGCATATACTTTGACACACCCCCATAGGCAAAGTGGGGGAGAACAAGGGGTCACAAGACCAGTCAAGAGAAGCAAAACAAGCTCAGGGTGGATCACAACGTCACCACACACACTGAGCACAAGCAAAGGGCCACAATGCCAGTTCACATGGAGAAGTATATATGCAACAACGACAACACTGTGATCTCTACCTAGCAGAGCAAGCATGCAGGTATATATATAGATCACAATACAGGCAAAGTTTACAGCAAGTGAGGAAACGTGGGCACAAGGCCTAACAAAGTACAAAAGCGCTGATGATCACCAGACGGAAGTGCCTTGGTGAATATATCAGCAGTGTTGGCCCGAGTGGCCACGTGAGCAAGACGAAGCTGACCACGCTGCTGCAACTCTCGAGCAAGGAAGTAACGCAGAGCGATGTGCTTCGTTCCGTGCTCCAGTCTGTGCTCCTAACACAAGGCAATGGCGACCTTGTTGTCGACGTACAGCACTGGAGGAGAACGAGGCCGCTCTCCCAAGTCGGTCAGCAGGTAGGTGAGCCAGCGTAACTCCTATGCAGCCATGGCTGTAGCGTAGATCTCAGCCTCACAACTGGAGCCGAGAACTGAAGACGATCGTGTGGAACGCCAAGAAACTGAACCAGAGCCAAGGCTGAAGGTGTAACCCTGTGACGACCGCTGAGTAGCGTGGTCGTCAACCCAAGAAGCGTCCGAGTGCCCAGTGAGGACATCGTCGCCCCGTCCTCCAAGCACGAACCCCATGCCCGATGTACTGCACAAGTAGCGTAGTACCCTCTTAGCAGCATCCATGTGCACCTTTCGGTGCTGATCAGGAGCCACGTACAGTGTCTGAAAAAATTGTCCACATGTTTTTGTTTTTGAAAAAAAATGTGCATTACTCTCTACAGGGATTAAGCCTTAATAAATGGCCTGTTGAGGGTTAAAGCATAGTGGGTTATACATCGTCTGATAAGGGTTCAAGGTCATAATAACTGGTGAACAAGCATTAGATACAGAAATAAGCAAATAGTACCATCTGGACATTTTTTTCGAAAATCAGTTTTACAGTCATACGCCTCAGAATCTAGTACTTGGTCCAGCGACCCTTGGCCTTGAGCACTGCGCGCACACGCCTAGGCATACTTTCAATCAGCTCACTGCACCAGGATGCAGGGATTTTCTCCCATTCAGCTTGAACCCTATCCCATAGCTCGAGAATGCCTGCAGGGGGACGGGGGTAGGTAAGAAGCTGCTTCTTCAAGTAAACCCACAGGTGCTCAATGGGGTTCAGGTCAGGACTGCTTGCTGGCCATGGGAGGACTGCGTAGGGCTGGTCGGCTAGGTAGGATTGCACCATCTTGCATGTATGCTTCGGGTCGTTGTCATGCTGGAAAACTACTGCCTCGGGGTCTAGCTCGTAATGCTCGATGGTCTGTTGCAATTCGTCCTTGAGGATTGAACGGTATAACTCCCCGTTCATCCTCCCCTCTATCTTACACATGAAACCCGCGCCCTCGTACGTCATGCAGCCCCAAATCATGATGGAGCCGCCACCATGTTTCACCGTCTGTTTCACATGGTGCGGCTCCATAGGACAATCACCGCGAATCCACGCCCAACTACGGCCGTCGCTACTAAAGCGGCAAATCTTCGTTTCGTCACTAAATATCACCCGTTTCCAGTCATCAACCGTCCAATGTTGATGGTCCCTGGCCCACTGCCGCCGGTCCTTAACGTTTTTTTCGGATAAACGAGGCTTCGAGGGCTTCTCTATCGCCTTAACGCTATGCCGCTTGAGAGTGTTTCGAACGGTCGCGCCAGTGACGCTAATGCCGTGAGTCGAAGCTAGCATTTCCGCGGCCGCCTCGGCGGATTTCGACTCGCCACAAACTATCGATCTAACAACTATCCGCTCGATTTTCTCTGGCAGCTTGCGTGGACGACCTGGTTTCGCCGGGGAAGGTACTAATTCCTCGTATGTATTCTTGTTGAGGTGACGTAGGAGCTCGTCGTGGACGGCGGATTTCGATACGCCTAACTCTTTCGCGATACTACGAAAGCTTCGCCCCTCTGCAATACGCGTCATGATCTGCCTCTGTTTCTCGACACTAAGGCGCCTCATGCTGCGGGGGTCATTCCGCTACGCGTGGGGCGTCGACAGAGGTCGAGATGTGCTAAAAACCTAACTAGAGAAGAACTAACTACTAACGAAATGACGCTCGGGGGGTTTTGGAAGAAACTGTCCGTGTGGGGTGTCGAGAGGGAAATTGCACTGCAGAGAGATATCGCGGGACTGGGGGCTAGTGGTCACCAACACAAACTGGTAACACCGTGACGCGATACATGCACGGAAAAGAAACACAAAAGCACTCAACTATATTAGTGAAAAGCGTCGTTTAACGTAGATTACGAAAACAAAAGGACGATTTTTTTGTTCAGTGTAGCGAGCCAGAAGGCCAAGAGGGTACGCAAGGTCAGGACGAGTGCAGGTCATCAGGTACATGAGGCAGCCCATTAGCTCTGGGTAAGGACCACTCGGCTCTACGGACTCGTCCGAAGGTGGAGGTGAGAGCGAGTGACCTGTAGCCAGAGGAGTGGCCTGTGCCGAGGATCAGGTGAAACCGAAGCGCTGAAGGACCTACTGCACCATGTGTGACTGAGTAAGTGTGATGGTGCGGCGTGCTCTGTCCTGGGTGATCTGCAAGCCAAGGTAACTGCGCAGCTCACCCAGGTCTGTGCACGTGTGTCTCTTCTGTAGCTCCGACTTCACCAGGGCGAGAGCCTCAGTGTCAGCAGTGGCAAAGACCAAGTCATTGACGTACACGAGGATGTAGAACGGCGGCAGCGAAGTGTCGGTGCGCAAAAACAGCGACGGGTCTGCAGTCGAGAGAGCAAACCTAAGAGCAGCAAGTGTCGTCCTCAGTGTGTCGTGCCACTCACGTGGCGCCTGGCGGAGACCGTAGACCGGCCGCCGGAGGCTCCACTGGGTACCAGGAGGGAACGACCCAGTGAAGCCAGGAGGGCGACGCAGCCAGATCTCCTCGTGTAGGCTGCCCTGTAAGAAAGTTGTGCTGAAGTCAAGTGAGTGAAGCTCATAGTCACGCTGAGCGGCAACGTGCAGCAACACCCGAAGAGTGGTCATCTTCGGGGTGGGGGAGAAGGTCTGGAAGAAGTCTACTTCCTCTAGCTGACTGAAACCTCGAGCAACGTAACGAGCCTTGAAGTCAGGCGGAGAACCTGGCGGCCGCTTCACCCTGAAAATCCACATGCCATCGACGATGTTCGCCCCATGAGGGGGAACCTCGTCAACGTAAGTGCCTGTGGACTTCCAGGATGCCATCTCTGCGTCCGTGGCTGTCTGCCACTGAGAGGAGTACTCACCCGCGATCGCCTCAGCATAGGAGTGCGGGGTCGGGATGTCTGGAGCATACGGGTCTCCCTCAGGGGGAAGCAGCATGGACACGAGATGAGGCGCAGTGGCTGCAAGACACTCAAGGTCCTCGTGCCTGTCCTCAAGGACGTCCGTGCCAAGAGCACACTCACCCCCAATGGACGGAGGATAGACAGACTCAGACTCAGCAACAAGACTAGCGGCGTAGTCTAGACGACAGTCAGCAGCAAAGTCAACAAGCTCAGCGACTAAGGCAGACGCAACAGCAGACTCAATCGATGGGTCAGTGACAACACTGGCTAGCAGACGCATGCCAGTAGGGTAAGCAGCACGAGCGCGGTCAGACTCAGTCTCTGGAACATCAGGCAAAGAAGACGCAGGAGGGGATGGAAGGGGAACACGCTGTGGAGCAGAGGAAGGACGCAGGGCCATGAGGTGTGTGCCGGGGACAGCCGGTGGACGCTCACGAGGAACACGACGACCAGTACGACCAGTGCGGGACAGTGCGAACAGGCAAGACAGGACGATACGCAGGCTCACGACGCTCAGCAAGACCGCCTGTCAGCTCAGTGTAAGGAGAAGGAGCAGGCAGCGGTGAGCCAGGCTGTAACGGAAGACCAGTAGAAGACGGGAGGCTAAGAACCTGGCAAAGCACGGAGCCAGGCGGTGGCAGAGACGAAGGTGACGGCGGAGCAAAGAACAGTCGCGGCGGTGAAGTGACACCAGCACC